TACATTATATGACAATGATTGCTTCGTCGACTTCCGCCAATTCTTCTGCTCATTGTTTACCTTTAAGAATATACTTTTTAAATATTCTGTTTCTATTGTTAAGTAAGCATTTTTACGATTTATCTATATATGTTCTTATGCATAACAGACTGAGTTTGTTTATTCTTGGTTGGTTTTGTTTGCAATAAATTCTTATTTATGATGCACGCCGTATCCCGATGATATTTTGAAATAGAAATTCGATTTATAGAAACGCAGGATGATGTGTGAAAATACGGTGAATTGTACCATTATTAAAGCAATTTCGTTAAGAAACCCATTCGTTTTAAAATGGTCGCCAAAAAATACCGCTAGCAAAATAGAAAAAGGAAATTTATTTTTGAATACGGATAGAATTAGGCAAAAAAGCACCATACAAGCAGACGTTGAAACTCATACCAAAAATAGTTTGTTGGCATGGAATGAAAACAAAAGAATAGTTGAACTTGGTTATTTGACCGAACAAATTTCCCTGTGTTTTAAGTGTAAACAGTCTCTGGAATTAATTGGACTGTACAGAAGAAATCCGATATAGTTTCGGAAACATTTTAAAAATAAAGTGCTAGCTTTGTGTCATCGTATAAGCGCAGTCTACACAGGAAAACAACATCGGAATGAGGAGAAAGTTAACAAAGGCTCAGAAATAAATGTGCAATTGGTTAGGACGAAATAAAATTAAAAAAAATCAGGTCCCGTTACAGTCTGACTAAAGCCAGCCCCGTGTATCCACTTGCGTCTACAAACGCAAGTGGATAGTGGGGCTGGCTTTAGTCAGACTAGTCCCGTTACATTTTTTTTTTCATTTCCATTCTGAAAACATTTTCTCGAAATTTACAAGCAAACGACTCATTAAAAAAATCCGTGGCTCCACAATAAATGATTAATCGGTGCTTTGATGAAAGTAAATTCAGAAAAGCGCTTCGAAAGCAAACACATTATAAAGGGATAGTTTCATTAACCTACATTACTCAAACGGCAGAAACAAACTGAAAATATCAGCAATCTTAAAATCATTTTGATTTTATATTCATGTTAATTTACGCTCAGGTATTCGGTGATGGGTGTATTTTTGGTGTTTTGAATTGGACATAATGTACAAGTTGAAAAACGCACCATTTCATAAAGTGGGGAGACAAAACGACAAAACGACTGAAAGACGATTAACAAAATTGCCTTTTTTTAGGAGGGGCATATTGCTAACGTAGGCGTCGGAAAAAGCCCGAGGGTATTCACAGTCTTATAAGGAGTTTTTACAACACGTATACAAGTATGTGTGTAAAAAAGAAGTGTTGGTATTTCTTGTGTGAATAAATGGAGATGTGGGATATATAATAAGACAGCAACAGCTAAACAATTAACGACAGCAAAACCAAAGACATCTAGATAATTATGACTAATGCATGATGGACAAGTATCTTTTTACTTCTAATTTGTAGTTTTAGTAAAGAATCGTCGGTCCCTTAAATTGGAAAGTTAATAAGTATATTTAGTAAAGCAAGTATTAAATCTATCAAATTATAACATCACATGTTCAAAACAATAGCTAGATTTTGATTATCACAGTAACATATTTCAGTCTCTTAGTACATATTTGTTAAAGTCTTTAAACTTCTTGTATTTCAGGAGAAAACTCAAACCAATATGAAATAAGCCGATGTGGTATGGTTGCAAATGAGACAATTTTCCACCAAAGACCAAATGACGTAGATGTTAGCTTGCTTATATTGCTACATTTCATTTGATATCTCCAGAATCACATTTCCACTATGAACTGCATATTCAAAAAGATCTATTTTCACCAAATGCCTTATAAAATAGAACACCATCATATACGCTAATATATATTTTGCTCCCTCGACAAAATGCTAGGAGCATATTGTTTTACCCGTGTCCGTTCGACCGTCCATCAAGCACTTGGTATATAGGGTTTATACGGCTAATTTCTTAGGACTCCAGTTTTTGTAGAATCAGCTTTAAAATTGTGTACCTGGTGTTACTACTTATACTAAAGGTGCACAGATCGTCAGATTTTTTTTAAATGACAGATTGATGGATTTGGCATTTTGATAATATATAAAGGCACGCAGAGTACAGACTCCGGCTTATTCCTCCTACATGTTCAATTTCAAGCTGGAACCACTATATTGCGCAGAGTATTTTACTTACATAGAGGGTGCATATATATATAATCTCAGATTTTTTTTTGTATAATTTTCCACGAATGACAGAATGTTGAACTTTGTCTTTTTAAGTGAAATTTTGCATACAGTTTGCAAGGTTTGTCCGACTTACTACACACACAACTCACACGTTTACACCATACAGAGTATACTATATTAATGTCTATACAAAGTCAGGAATATGACAGTTGTTTTCCATTCGTTTGATGTGTTTGAGCTTTTGATTTTGCCATTTGATAAGGGACTTTCCGATTTGAATTTTCGGAGTTCGGTATTTTTGTTACTTTATTTTTTAGAACACATGTGTATTTTATCAGGATCTTTATTTTCTTTATAATTTTCACAACTAACAGAATGATTAACCTTTTTTGACTGGTGCATCAAATGTGTCTTTTAGATACAACTGTTTCAAATTGTATTGTATTGTCCTGAACATGCATGAAATATTTGCCACTGAACGTTAAGCAACCATCAATCATAGCAATCAATTTAAATTGTACTTCAACATCACTGTTTACTAAATCAAATTTTTGAAGCATTATTGCCGCGGTGGCATCACCATTGTCCAGAATGGTAGGGTTAAGTTGAAGATTCAGTTATCCTAATTAATCTCACATGAAATTTTTCATGTGATTTTCACGTGAACTTTACAAAAAAAAAGAAGGTATTTTTCATAACTTTAATTTAATTTGGAAAATTTAGATATTATTTTGAAAATTCACGTGAATTTAACGTGTACAAAATTCATGTTATTTATACATGAAATTATCATAAGTTTCACGAATAAGCTCGTTTAGGTGAAAATCACACGAGATTCGCGGAATTTTAATTCATGAGAGCGAAATTTCCCTGTGTAGGACGAAATAAAGTTAAATCAGTAGAATTTTGTATTGAATTACCAGTAAATTTAAGAAATCCGACAGGAAAATGAAAATAAAATAAACACCATTCATATCCGGACACATATTTTTTTCAATACCTCTGAGTAAGAATAACATTATTCTGTATTCAATAACGTCACACGTTTTCGGTTAAATTCTAAGTGTATCGATCAACTTTGAAGCCATTTATCTAAAAAACAAGGATGGTGACATATGAGTTTCTATACTTGCATGGATTCAGTATACACTCCTTGATATTATGTTAGTTTTTAGTTTTTCTTCGTATATAAGAACATAGCCATCCATTGAAAAATTTAAAACGAAAAGTCGAAAAAAGGCATTTTCCCTATATATCTATGTAAATTTGTCGCCAAAATTGACGTTTTCATATGAAAATTACAAGAAAACAAAAATGGTGACCCCCATTTTTTATTACATATTCCGATGTAACTCGATTCAAAGTACAAGTGTGCCAAAATGTTTAGAAATCGGGAGATATGCCATTCGGTATCGTGTTACCTTAAGGTCAACATTCTATAAAAGAAAAGATTTACCGATTATGACTGTACAGTTTTGAATAAATAATCTCGTTTAAACAATCAAAACCAGGTGTATATGGTCTCATTGCCATTCAATCATTTAAAAAAAAATAAATGTACGAGACTCTTACTCATTATTTATGACAATTGATAATAGTTACAATTTATTATTGTCATTGTGAAGAAATTTACAGTTACATTTTATTTCTTGAGTTTCACGTTTACAGCTGGTAAAACACACATGGTCAGCAGTTAACTTTTGTATAAAAAGGGCTCAATTTAACAAGGAGCAGAAGACGTCGGATTCCGGTGGCACACTCACTTAAAACGCAAACGATGAAGACTTTTATCCTACTTCTTGCATTTGGCTTTGCAGGTAACTATCTTTTTTGTAAGATTTATAGAAAATAAAAACGCGAATATACCTTAAGTGATAAATCACTTATATATTCTATTGAAAAACCTTTATCAATACATTTTTATTCAAGTAACATGTTCTTTTCGGTTTATTCAACACAACATTCTTTGCTAATGGTATTAACTGTTCGAGTTAGATTGAAGTTATTGTATATAAAACATGTTTCACCTTTTCGTATACTAAATGTATTCTGCGGTATTAAACATCCTGTAGGGTTCGGGTTAAATATATTAAGCAATGCTTTTTACATTTTTCACAAAATCAATTAAAGTTTATAAGAAGGTACAATGCAAAAAAATATTTTTTGTTCAGTCATTAGTTGTAAATCAGCGTTCTGTACGTTTTTTATTTTTTGCCAAAGCGTTCTCAGTTTGTCAGTTTGTCAGTTTGTTAGTTTGTTATCGATATCCCTTTGGTATCCTCCGCCTCACTTTTATCTTATTCACATTTTACGAATTCAGCATAAACTTGACCTTCAATATTTTCATTGGGATGTAGCTACAAATTTTGCATTGTACCTATCATTATATATAAATAATATGTGACTATTTGATACAGGAAAGATTTGAATAAGAAAAATGAGTTTGTCATGATTATATTTTTCCTACATTGCTTTTTTTTCAGTCTGCACCCAGAAAATAACACAATCTGGAAAGGAACTTATCAAAGAGATATTTCAGCATTCGGTAAGCTGTATAAAATGTAAAACCAGTTTATTCGATATTTATTTTTTAATTCAATAGTTTGTCTATGTAGTCGTGTTGTAAATTCAGAGGAATAATGTTTTTAGTATAGGCACCAACTATTGTAATTCAAAACTATTTGCTTCTAATGTTAAATCTGTCATTTGAAAACATTAAAAAAGAATAATTTGATACCCTGAGCACGTTTCTTCTACATACGACTCGTAAGTGGTGTTCCAATCAAATCAGTGAAGGCACAAATGAATGACGAAGTTGAAGAGCAAACGATCGTATGAGCTTGACCTTTACCTCGAATTAGACTTCAGTTTAATTCCATTTAAATAAAGTTCGTTCGTGCTCAAGTTGTAATGTTAGTCAGTACGCTTTTATCTACATGTATAGAGAACAAGTTTCCAGATATTTAAATGATGTTTATATATCCTATATGAATAAATCAAGATATAAGGTACATGTCAATAAAACAGAAACCAAACGACAACAACAAGAAAAAGAAATTTTAGTTTTCCGAGGTTTTTCATTTTAGAGTGAAGTAAAAAATGTTGATGGACTTACCAGTAAAATCGTCGGAGGGAGTAACGCAGACATAAGTGAATACCCCTGGCAGGTGTCCTTACAGTTGAGAAGTAGTGGAAGTTGGTATCATATTTGTGGAGGTTCTATCATTAACAACAACTGGGCCGTTACAGCCGCTCACTGTGTTGATGGAAGTTCGTAAGTTTTCTTTCAATTCGTCGGTTTGTGTGGTAAACGATTTTGATGTTTAGACGGAAGGTTAAAAGAAGTTCTGTAAAAAAATAAAACAATCAAATATTTAGAATTTGTCAAGTTCAATCCAAATTACAATTAAATATTAAAGGCAGAATAAAGAAAAAAATTGTAACAAAAAATCCGAACTCCAATGCAAAATTCAAAAATGTGGGAAGTCCATAAAAACTGACAAAAGCAAATGCTATCAATCAACGAAACAAGTAAAAAACAATTGCCATATTACTGACTTGGTACAGGCATTTTTCGAAGAAAATGTTGGGTTATAGCCGACTATACGGTATGGGTTTTTCTCATTGTTGAAGGCCGTACGGTTGCCTATAATTGCTTATATCCACTCTATTTGAACTTAGTTAGGTTGATAGTTGTCTCATTGGCAATCATACCTCATCTCCTTATTTATATATTAAACCTGGTTTTATAGCTGGCTAATTCTCCTGTTCTTTGCAGAGTTTCTTTCAATTATATACTTTGTCATTGGTCCGAGTTGTTATAAATTGTCCATCTGGATTGTGACATGTTGATATGTACCTGGTCTTAACATTTAACATTTGGTGCATGTGGTGAAGGACATTCTAATCTTCCCTCCCAGAAATCCCACTCCAAAATATACAAAAAAAACCAAACGAGTGTATTAACCGATTACGTTTTAATGTATTTGTTCCTAGTCTGTAGATGTCTATATATGTATTTTTTAATGTGCTTTAAGGAATCTTAACATATATTTGATAGTCACTGAAAATTAATGCCCTTCTGGTCTAGACTCGGATGAATTTAGTGGTTTTACAAGCTGTATATGCATGTTCTATTGGTAGAGATTGTACGCTAACCTGAAGTTGATTTTAGTTATTTCTTTGGTTGCTTGTTTTCTGTGCATTAAGCAGATTCTACATTTCTATGAACGATGCTTGCATATTATTGATATCATGCATACACGAATCTTCAAATAATATGTTAATATCTTCGACAGCACGTACTGCTTAAATAGAAATCGCTACAAGAGAAATTCAATTTAATAAATCGTAAAACAAAAGTTTTATAGATTAAAGCTCGTGATTTCATCTTATTTTTGTATTATTGTGGTATGTTATTTCGATTTAAGATTTTGAGTTACTATATAAGTGCTGTGTTTTTCATTTTCATTGTCTTGTTTATAGAACGAGTACCCTTCGGATTGCCGCTGGGATGACACAGTTGTCAGATACTTCAAGAACAGTAAGAACCTTAAGCCGTGTTATAATGGTAAGTTATTTTGTAACTATTGTAACGGAATTTTGTACCTAAAAAGTCATCAAAATATAATTTAATTCGCCAGAAACATGTTTTGTCGAAAAACTAAGACGCAGCAGTAGCGCTTAACACAACTAAGTTGGAATTGAATATAAATTATGCTGTTAAAAACAACTAAATAGTAGCCCAAAAACTGTGGCTTGGGCAATCTATGCTTTGGGATAGATAAACTATATTTTTTGAATGATTTCAACATTTTGCGAAGAAGAAAAGAATTATGAAAAATGAAAAAAAAAAATTATAAAAAATGACAACATCATTTATATTACCGGGCTTGTGATACACTCAAAATTATTACGTCCAACAGCAGTATTATCGATCTGGTTGTTGTAATTACTTATCAAATATACAAGGTGATGCTCGAATGAAAACAGTTTAAATCAATTGACAAGTTGAAATGCATTGAAATCCAAGTATTCAAAAATGTTGTGTCAAATCTGGATAAAACCATTTATACATGGGTAAAATTTCGTTTAAATTTAAGTTTCTTTTTTTATTTTTTATTGATCTTTTTGGTGTTTAATTTAAGTTTCTAATTGCTAAAACTAATGTAAATTATAGCATACATGTTTTAAGGGCATATGATAAAGTCTTCCTTAACATATATCATGATATATATAGGCCTTAAGGAAAGTCTCTTAGACGAAAACGGCATGCGATAGCAAATTGTGGAATCATACAATTATTGGACTTAAAAAGCCGTAGACATTTTCCTTGAAAATAGAAATGTATATAGAAAAAATATATCGTTGATTTTTTCTTGCATTCTCGAAGTAGTACGTAGTCGATTGCAAAAGAAGAAAAATGAGGATGCAAGTGATAACTTTTTAGCTGACTATATAAAAACTATGTGTTTTGTAATGCTTGAGTTCTTATTCATTTTGTTGTCGCTAAATAACGTCGTAGTGTTATCTTAATGCAAGATCGTCGTGCAGCTATTCTCGATGTACACCAAACCGAAATACAAATTACTGTCGAATTAATTGATGGTAGAAAAGTAAGTAGTCATCATTTGTTTTGAATTTTATGCCCCGCTCTAAATTTCTCGTACTTAAATATGTACAAAATGTTTGTTTTCGTGAGTAAATACTTTCAAATTCACGTAACCGATTTAATAACGTATAAGAAGCTTTTGCGAATTGTGGATGATAATCATTAGAAACATTGCGAAGACAACGCGTAACATTTCGATGTATGGTTATCTGCCCTGTCTACTGTATCGTATGCCCTCAATGGTAGTAGTGCTAGACAACCCAATGATATTGCTCATTTAAAAAAAATTATAGGTATATAATATGTATAAGAAATCAGTTCATAAGGTTATAAAACTAAACTCAACGTAAGCAGAACCTGAAAACACAATGTATAAAAATTATTGCAATCAACGTTTAATAAATGGGATAGGCTATAAAAAGCTTATACATGACATCTCTAACAACAAAATTAGCCGAGAATACACATTAAATTACTGCAGATATTATAAACATTATATTAATATCTACTTGCTAACTGTTACAAAATTTACGGCATCCAAGCTATTGTGGTAGGTGTGCTAAATATCGCAATGACATTGCTCGTCACGATCAAAATAAATATCTTATTAAGTAATTCAATATATAATATATTTATAACTAAACTTTATGTAAGAAAAACATATACATATATTGCAAGGCAGTTAAATGAAAGCTTTTTTGGACAAAAGTGTCATTGGTAACATATTCATAAATGCAATGTACAGATATTTGAAAAATTTAGTTGACATCTGTAATTTCAAATTCTAATGAAAATTACAGCATCCTAGCTATAGTGGTAGTGCTGCTGGATATCCGAATGACATTGCTCTGTTACAATTATCACAGTCATTGTCATATGGTGAAAACATAGATGCGATAGCTGTTCCTTCAAATGTTGATTTTACTGGATCAAAATGCTTCCTTTCAGGATGGGGCCGATTGAGCGGAAGTATGTCATTTATTATAAATCAAGTAAAACGATTTTTTATGTTAAGATGTTAAACTTTGTCTAAATAATCTACATGTTTACATAATGTTCATTGGTCGCCTCAAGGAAATCACATTTGACTAAATGTAATATCAGTTATATATATATATCAAACTGAAAAGGATAATGCGATAGAGCAAGTATGGTAACCATTCTAACCTTTGATAATTACATGTATGTACACGTCCATTCTATCGGTGCAGATGTATATACACATATATATATATGTCTTCATCTAATCGTTTAGGCTGTATGACCTCTTAGGCGGGAAGATATGGTTATATTGGATCTCTCATATATGTAGCTGGATGAAATCAGACATTGAGATAGCAAAAAGTAAAATAACAAAAATACAGACCTCCATGGGAAATTCAAAACGGAAAGTCTATAAAATGGCAAAACCAAAAGCTCAAACACGTCAAACGAATGGAAAACAACTGTCATATTCCTGACTTGGTACAGGCATTTCCTTATGTAGAAAATGGCGGATTAAACCTGGTTTTATAGCTAGCTAAAACTCTAACTTGTATGACAGCCGCATAGAATTCCATTATATAGACAACAATGTGTGAGCAAAACAAACAGACATAATAGATAAATATGTTAAAAATTGGGGTACAACAGGCAACATTGTAATTGATACTTTCCAACATTTTTGCAGAGTTGTCGAATAAGGGTAAAGGCAGATAAAACATGAATTTATTGCTTTAACAAGATAATTCATTTAACAGGTGGAAGCAGCCCAAATACTTTACAAGATGTCCAGATGACTGTTATCAGCAATTCGGAATGTACAACGAGATGGTCATCTGTCAGTGGTGCTACTATCAACAGTGGCCACATTTGTATACATGAAACTGGTAAATCTGCCTGCAGTGTAAGTGTCTATAGTTAAAACAGTTATATGCACCATATCTATGTTCTGAGTTGTTCAAGTTGAAGCACAGCAGTTTACTCTCGACTTCTTAATCTTAATGTATGGGGAATGCAGAGACAAAAAAATTCCAATGCCAAACGATTTATAGATATATGCATGGCAGTTATAGTAGTTAAGATAAGATCAGCTTGAATTGTGTAAGTTAATTAATAATACACATCTTTTTTTCAGAAAAAGATGTTGCACCAAATGTACCATCAGAATGATGAATTATTTATCTTGATGACATTCTTTCCCTATCATTTAAAACGAAATATAACAATTCCACTTACACAATATCAGAAAAAAGAAATTAAACCAGCAAGTCATTTTCGTAATATTTCCAAACATGGTACAGACAAATTGTTACTATTGACAATATTGTAAACTAAAAAAAAAACAAAAAAAACAAAAGAAAAGTTGGAGTTCATGAAGTCGTTGATTGACAGGAATATGATAGTCTGAAAAGTTAATCAAAACAAAGTTATAACTTGAATGTTATAAACAAAAATGTTAAGTAGATATTTTCTTAAGCTCGAAGTCAGAGGGTTAACATTAATTATATCAGAAGTATTTGTCATGATCATATCATAGAAATATTGAATATCCATAAAATCCGACATGTATACATACTTGTTAAAAATGTAGATCTTATAATGTTTTTAAATGATGTTTTTTTATTTATTATAGGGTGATAGTGGTGGTCCAATGACATGCTACTCTGGAAATACTCCATATCTCGCTGGTGCTACGTCTTGGGGTATCAGCACATGCTCTGGAAGCTTTCCAAGCGTCTACGCCAGACTGACATCGTTCAGGTCATGGATCAGTACCTACGTCAGCATCTAATTTCAAGAGATAGAAGCATATTTAAACTAATTAATTGATGGAATAAAAACAATATCGCATTGAAATGTAGTTTGTTTTATAAGATTCCTTTTACCTTAAAACTGTCAATGTAGTTTTCCAAGTTGCATTCGTACACCCAATTTTATCATCCGCTTTGCTCGTAATTGTCACAAAGAAATAAGTGACAGACAAGTAAAGAGTTCATAATACAACTATATCAGAAATTTGTAATTGAAAGCCACAAAAGGTCACCAGTCGTGAATGCTTTTAACACAGAGCAAAACAATATATGTTTTATTCACCTGTTTCTGATTATAAATTCGATATTTCAAGTATTATATTATATTGACACGAGCATGTGGTTATCATGCTTAAGTTCTTTTTAAGTTTTTCTGAAAGAATCGTTACTAAGTTGTTCACAATTCTGTTTGTTATCCAAAATATGATTTAGAGTTTGACATAGTGAACACACCTCTAATATATAAATATTATTTACGATATAAAATGGTTTCTAAATGTCTTTTGATTGAATTTTCGTTTTACTGCTTTCAAGAAAGGTAGTAAAAATATGCAAGCGAGTCTTCATTTGAATAAATCAGATTAATCTAAAACCGAAATCATCCACTTACATACCAGTCTCGTAATTTAAACAAAATGCCAATGCTACTACCCAGTGCTTTAAGTAATTACATGATTACCATAGCTGTATTTGAAAAAAAACTTTCGGAAAATTGGTTTCTTCATTCTCTTCCATCGCGTAACTTATTTGGCTTTTTAATTTTTTTGAGTAAAGCGTCACTGGTGAATCTTTTATAGTCTGGAGTACGAATGCTAACTCTGGTAACTATGATTAGTTTATTTACAATCACTGGGTAGATGCCACTGCCAGTGGAAGTTTCCAACTCGATAATATCAGCAATCTAGTAGTCAGTACGTCTGTGTTGACATACATTATCATTGATATGGGCATAATTATAAGTAGATTTTGTTTACAAAACTTCAACTCTTTAAAAAAGTAAAGATTTTCTAACCCAGGAATATATAACACTATTTATACTTGACAAAATCTTTCAGAGATTTGGTTCCTTAATGCTCTTCAATATCGAACTTTTTGTGGCCTGTTATTATTTTTTTTAAGCGTCGCTGATGAATCTTTTGTAGACGAAATACGCGTCTGGCGTACACAATTCGAATCCTGGTATCTATGTTGAGTTTATTCAGGATCTCAATTCTTACTTTGGTTTATTTAAGATCGTTCACAATATTAAAGACAAAATGCTTTTATTTTTATTTTCAATTTTCATTTAGCAATATAACAGTGTACCGTTTATTGCATCATGTTGTTAGCCAAATGTCATACAACTCAATGTAGGGTCATTTGTCCGCAGTTTTGCACTGTTTGCAACATTTGAAAATGTCCAGCTGATAGGTCATTTTATCTTTCTGTTTAGATCTAAAAGCTTCTGAAGCGCCTTGGATAAACATAATGCATGTCTGGCGTGCATCGTATTATATATTTTGATGGCTATTTCTTTTTCGTTCTTGTAGCAATAAACTAACATGGGTTAAATCTTTTGGATTTCCCCTCTCAGGTAACAATTGTTTTGTATTGTATTGAGTGCTATGGACAATAGAAAGACACAAGACATCAACACAACAATAGGTGATTTAAATGGTATTGCGAACACTTAGTAGACAGTATAAAATGCAATTCATGTGCTTTGTGTTTTACCATCATCTGCAGTGATGAAAAATAATAAAAAAATCCCAAAACAGATTTTATCTCTCTGAAACACAAAATGCATTAACTGATATATATCTAGTGGATAATAGGCATTAAAACGTTTCCAACTGCACAGGTTTGTTTGTACTTTGAGTAGTTTTTTTTTAATTTTCAATCATTTAGTGACCATTGTTAAAACTTATTTGACTTCATGCACTTATATATTTAGAAATGGTTTGCGAGAATGTGGTTTGTGGATTTGCAAAAAAAACAAAACAAAAAAAACAAAATCTATAGAATTATATCAGTTTAACAGATACTAATTATATACGGTTTAATAGTTCAAATATTGCAATCAATTTATAAATAAAAAAATTGCAGTGTACATTCGCTTAGTGGTTACAACCACGAGGGATCGGCAATATGTTATGAAGAAGTTATAGTTCGACTTTCAACAAATATTGTATTTAATATTGTACAACTAGTCCTTACAATATAACATGACACATTGAGATATGAATATTTTCGAATTTTGTAAGCTCACAGTTCCTTGTAATAAAGATGAGTACATTTCAAAATAACTAACGTCACGAAATTTTCATATGATGTTATAGTGTTATTAACTGGCTGTTTCTGTATAGGCCCTGTTATAGATTCGAGGTTAGCTTTATTGGACCCGAGACTCGTACAGTCGAGGGCCAATACAGCTGATCGAGAATCTATAACAGGGCCTATACAGAAACAGCCAGTTAATAACACTATAACATCATATGAAAATTTCGTTAACAGCCAGTTCATAACACTTTTATTAAATGATTTTAATTCTTTTAATTAGAATAAACTAAGAAACTTACCGTGAAGAAGATACTGAATTTTATATCTCTGAACTTGTCTTTTCGCATTCACTTCTAGGGATTTTTTGTCAACATTGTCAGATGTAATTTCTGATTTCTCGTCCAAGGACTTAATATAATGCTATTACAATTCATTTTATCTAGCAAATATAAAGTAGCTGGGAAGAATAAATCAGACAGTTTAACTATTCTTACTCTTGGATCGTCTGCGTTCTGATGATTGATCAACGGAAATGAAACAGTGTCAATAATCGAAAGTCGTACTCGAAAAGGCTGTGAAATATTTCCGTCTTTTTTCCGTAATGGCCCTGTTTTTTCGGTATTGGCCCTGTCCGAAAAGTAATATTAACTCTTGATTTATATCGACAGGGCAACGTCATCAGTATTGCACATGCTGTTTTATCCGTATTAGGGCGGATTTGCTCATATCATTTAATAAATATTTTTATCATCTTGCTTATGCATGTTATATTTTGGTTTTAGTGGTTCAAATAAAAAAGTAAAATAACAAAAATACCAAACTCTGATGAAAATTCAAAACGGAAAGTCCCGAATCAAATGGCAAAATCAAAAGCTCGAACACATCAAACGAATGGATAATAACTGTCATATTCCTGACTAAGTACAAGCATTTTCTTATGTAGAAAATGGTGGATTAAACCTGGTTTTATAGCTAGCTTAACCTCTCACTTGTATGACAGTCGCATAAAATTCCATTATATTGACAACGATGTGTGAACAAAACAAACATATGTCAAAAAAATGTCAAAAATAGGGGTACAGCAGTCAACATTGTGTTATATATTCTTAATCACTATAAAACAAACAAATATGTGAACAAAGAAAAACAAAAAGGCATATAGACAAAGCACATTAGCAAAAACGAAAGACAAGAATACAAAATCTTACATAACACAATAACACAATGACGGGATGTATAAGTATCGAGCCACGTCATATGGATATTACCAAAAAATAGACTAAGCAGTAAAAGTAATAATTTACAAAGACAAATAAAAGAATACTATAACACGTTATTAAGATGATAAACAACACCAGTACCTATAATCTATACTTCAACACCATCGTGTATTATTTTTGAAGTTTATACGGAATATTTATCAACAAGGTCTTGGTATCTTCCGATGAACTTTTTATAAAAAGGACGAGACGTTCTTTGACATACCCCTGATTCATCAACTTTCTGCTGGAAAATGTATATACAATATACAGTTAAGGTTGGTATATTGCTACTATGGTGGGGAAAATTGATAATATCAAAATTAAAATAGTCTCGTTTGTCATAGATTCTGGTACCGAGATGACCGCTTATGTCTAAAAATGAGACAAAGGAAGCCGTGTCTGTTGTTTCTTTAACTTCTAGTTTTGGAGGATAAATTAATGGAACCTAATCAGATTGTTAATGGAAAGAGCATCATCAATATATCTGAATTTGTAATTAAATGATCCGTGTTCTTTGATCTTCTTGTTTTTGACAAGTGTCTGAAGGAACTCCGACTCATATGAAAATAAGAAGAGGTCGACAAGGAGAGGACACAGTTTGTTCCCATAGGAATGCCGACATTTTGTTGAAAAAATCTACCTCCAAATCATCCTACAGTCTGTGTTTCAAATATCGATGATAAAGATAACTTAAAAAAACCAAAGGTGATACGTGAGAATTCCTAAAACATTTATACACATTTTCAGACATTATGTACAATTTACAATGTACAATTTATTTCCCGATCATAACAAAACACATCGTACACATTCATATTTCGTTTTTTTTATCTGTTATATATTATCAAAATTATTGAGATTATGAGAAAAAGTAACTTTCTCTGCAATGATCCTACATAACGTAAGATGACTTGGCATTGAAAAGAAAAAAAACACGATAGCAAGTCCTTTATTACGATTTGGTGACCAAATGATTAGCAATACTTTAATTTGTTATCAAAATATGTTGCTATGTACCACTTATCATGTTAATATTATATATGACACACTAGTTAAATTCTTCCTTATCATTGAATTGTTTTCAAACATGTTTTTTATTCCATTTCCTGTGATCATCAATTGAAATTGTATGGCTAAAACGATGATGAATATTATATTTCTGGCAAATGTGTTAATTGTGTTATGTAAAATCAAGCTTTCTTTTCAACTTAGTGGTGGAGTTTGTAAGAGTCAGGAAAAAGGGTATGTTAACTTTTATATAAATAAACCTTACTCAAAAGTCTAGCATTTGTCACACCCAAGATGGAATTGAATAATATGAAGTAAAAAGTAAAAAGTTAGAATTGAAGTTGAAACCCTAATACTGATTAATTGAAACTAAGGTGGCAAAAGAAGGGTAATAATCAGATACTGCTCCACATGTGACACCCGTCGTGTTACTCCTATACGATACGATAAGT